ATTAGCTACTCTCGTTTATTTATCTTCAGCTTCCAACCCCAGTGGGATTATTTCAGTCCCACCATTAACCTGTTGATCAGATAAAACACTTACTAAAATAGTTTTAGGGGGCCTTTTTAGGCTTTCTTTGTGTTCCCTGGAGTCATCCTGAGTAGGTGGAAATTTTCTTAATTATTCATGTTTTGTGGCTGCTTGAGACATTTTTTTTCCTTAACGAGCACAGTGCTTCCAAAAGGGTAAATAGTTACTTCACAGCATTTTGCTCCAATGTTTTGTCTGACCTGACCTACCTCGTAGGAGAAAAGAGAAAGCCAAATCAGCTGAAATCACAAGTCTTCAATTAGGCAAGCCTATGTTTTAAGTCCATCGTAAGAGCTAGGGTGCGTTGAGCAATCATAGTGGGACCAGTCTTGGGCTGTTTGGGATGAAATTCTCCTCCTTTGGTGCCTCCTGGCAACACTTTAACTATTTTACATTATTATCTCTGACTTAGAAGCAAAGAACCCCACTGAGCACTCTGGGGACCTAGGATTCAGGCCAGGTCTGCTCCAATTAGAAGCCAGGAGGCAGAGCTTGAGTACTTAGTTCTGTGTGATAGCTTCTTTCTTGAGCAAAACGTAGAACTTGGCCCGTGCATCGGGAAGCCTTCTGTCACATGGAGTGCCACCGCCTGATTCTCAACAGCGGCTTAACACTTGTTTGTAGAATGCATAAACGGAATGAAGGAGCTCTGTCGAATTTAGGCTTCCCCTGGAAGCCACATTCACACCTGGAGAAGGAAGGAGCCACATTTGTACATTTCCAAGTTGTGTCCCTTCAGTGTACAAAACTCTGGTCTGAAGTTCTTGTGTTTTTGATAAGCTCGCTCTTGTCCCCAGTTAAATAACAAAGTGCTCCTGAAATGGCTTATTTTCTGTATTTGTTTCATTCAGGGAACAATGTGCGAAAGCTTTGGAAATAACACATTTCATTTATAAGCTATCCTGCAGCCCACCATCGGTAATTCAAAACTATCATCCTGTATGAATTGGTATCATTATACCTTGAGAAGCTTACTGAAAAATAATATTTGTGGACCTCTGACTTGCAGCACACTGCTCTGAAAGCAAGAACAATACGCCAGCCTTTGTTGTCACGGGAGATTTGCGTTCAGAATTTTTAGGCGAGAAATACGTTAGACCTTTATGGGATCAATCTTATGAAAACTTAAACAGTTAATGGGCTCCGGGCTTTCCAAATGAGATTCTGGCCCAAGACCTAAACTGTATGGGATCCAGAGTGCGTGTTTTGGAGAAGAAAGAACACAAAGGAAACCAGAAATCTGACAGTTTCTGCACACATTGGGCCAAATATTCCACGGTTTGTACATGCATGGTGGCCTCAGCTAGATTCCCTTGTATTAATCCCAGCCCAGCTGTATAGGGCATTTAGATGAAAAAGATGAAGTCATCACTCTAGGCAATGAATGAGAAAAATTGATGGGGACAAAGTGAATATCTTAACACGGTCACTTGGAGTACTGGGATTTGGAGGAAATGCCCCCGGGGGAGTGGGGCATGTTGGGATGGGGAAAGATATAATGTGTACCTCAGTAGAGGGAGTCTGGGTAGTAAGTGCCACTACAGGATCACCTGGAGATGGAAAGAGCCTGCCGGGAAAATGGTAAAAAGGAGTCGTAGCTGGCTTGAGCAAAGAAAACGGGTCTCCAGGAGGCTCTGAGGCCCCAGCCCTCAGCACAAATCCTGTGTTCAGTGGGTGCTTCCCAGCACGTGTTGAATACGTGGGTGAGGGAGTCTTGGATGGGACGTTGTATCTGAAAAGGCGCTTTTTAAAAAAGTAGCAGGTTATTTTTTGAGGAGTTTGAAGTTTACAGAAAAATTGAGCAGTAAGTACAGTTTTCATATTATCCCTTTCTTTTGCACACAGTTCCCCTTAGAATATCTTGAATTAGTGCAGTACATTTTTTGCAGTTGATGAGCCAATGCCGACGCATTGTTACCGACTAAACGTCATAGTTTACAATAGGGTTCACTGTTGGAATCCTGCGTTCTGTGGATTTGGACTGAGGTATAATGACATGTACCCACCATTATGGTATCAGACACAATACCTTTCATTGCCCTAAAAAATCCCCTGTGCTGCCTATTCACCGCCCTCTCCCTTCCCCGTCTGAGGCTGTGGCAACCCCACTGATCTGTTTACCATCTCCATACTTTTGCCTTTTCCAGTGCATCACGTAGCTGGAGTCCTATAGTATGTACGTTTCCAGATTGGCTTCTTTCACCAGACAGCAGACATTTCAAGTTCCTCCATGTCTTTTCATGGCTAGATGGCTTATTTCTTTTTAGCGTGCATAATATTCCATCGTCTGGTGGACTGTAGTTTATCCAGTCTCCTACTAAAGGACATCTTGGTGGTTTCCAAGGTTTCGACAATTATAAATAAAACTGCTATAAGTATTTGTGTGCAGGTTTTGTGTCCATACAACTTGTCATGGATGGCACATTTAAAAAAAGTTTCTTATATGAAAGGTGAATTATATTTGAAATGGAGGTGCATGGTTGCACACCCTTTTGCAAAACACTGATTACGACACAAGGGAGTAAAATCTTCAATCCTCTGCTAACTGCTCGGTCTGTATTATTTCACTTAGAGACTGCTGTATGAGTCAAAAGGGGCATTTTTTCCTTCAAAGTATAAGTGGGGGTTATATTGTCTTATTTCTGCTCCCTAGTTTAACTCACTAAACTAATTACCATATTCAGAAGGATACAGCTTAAATTAGTGTTTGAGCCAAATATCCCCAAGCACACAAGTGATTTGCTTTGCTGTACCAAATAACACCTCAATCAACGTCTGCCTGATAATGATTTATCATGGGAGACAAATCTAAAACGGCCCTCGTGCATCTTACTCCTTGGTTCTGAGTATAGCATTTATGGATATGGTGTGGCTTCTTGGGATGTTTATTATATGAGTTAAAAAATTGAGAAGGATTGAACATCCCGTAGCCTGTGGCGTTGGCAATCAAATAGCAAAAATGTGTTTTGTAACAGATGACTTGGGTTTTGCTTTCGCTTCAGAAGTCATCTGTGACACCTCTGTGGAGAGTTGACTCTGCAGCCCGTGTCCTCCTTTTCTGGACCACATAGGTGAAGGTGCAGCCCCAAAGCAGAGGGCCTGTCCCCACCGGGGCATGACCTATGTGCCAGGTAGGATGTGCTCATATTCATTTATTATTCCTGCTGCAAGGAATACCTGGCATCCTTATAAAATTTCAATTGCTGTGGTTATCCTGCAGTAATGAGATGGGCCCGCCCCCTCCCAAATTGGGTTCCCATGTCTAGACTGATGATGCCACACCTACAGCAAGAGTCTACGAAAAGGTTTATTACTCACATAATGAGGCTTTCTGGCGGTTGGGGGGGAGGAAGGTTGCGCCCAGGCTGATCTGAAAACAGCTTGAGAGCGATGGGAAAGGAGAATGATTGACCTTTCATGGTGGGAGGAGGCAGGGATTGGGTGGGACATTCAGGCAGGGACTGGCATAGCCTGAATCTCCCACATCGCTGCAGGGGGCAGCACCCAGGCTTTCTTATTGGCTCATTGGGCACAAGTCAAATAAGGACTGGTGAGGCTTAAGAGCTCTTTGCAGTCAAGCATCAAAAGTGGAGTCAGACCCTAATACCTCAACCAGAGTATAGGTGCATGCGTTAACTTATGAAATTAAACTGGGAGCATAGGAGTATATTGTTCTCTGTGGAGATCACAAATTGTGTTCGTCTAGTTTGACCCTCGTTTACTTCTGATCTGACAACTGACGGCAGCGTCCTAATCAGACCGTCCATATTTCAGCCCCTTCTGTCTTCGAGCAGCTTCCATTTTTTTTCTTATGGAAAACTTAGGCATAAATAGAAGTTAGACAGAAAAGTGCAGTAAACTTACATGTGCCCCTGATGCGCATTGAACAGCCGTGAACTCATGCCTATTCTCGTTTAATCTCTACCCCATCCTCCCTTCCCTTCTTCCTCTACTAATTTGAAGAAGACAAGCAGCTATGATACCATTTTATCCAGGAGTATTTCAGTAGGTGTCTCTATTTTTCTCCCCTTATGTGTCGCTTAGTGCTCTGTGATTCTCATGCAGTCCATCTACTTAACTATGTAAGGTTTGCAAATCTGGCCTTTGGAATAAGGTTTAACCCTTACTTCCTGGCTCTTCAACTTCCTAACTTACTGTGAGCTTGAGCAGGTCGCTGTCCTTACAGAGTGCAGTGCCTCCCATCTGGGAAAGGAAGCCTATGCTGTTTGCTCACAGGGTTTCAAGTGGTCTGAATAAGAGAGTGTGTGATAGTCATTTGCGGGCAGAGACTGCTCAGTAGATGGCACCTGTTACTCTTGCTGCTTTTGTCGAAACTGTGATTGTGTTGAAGCATTGCTGTGTGGGTGGGGTAGTATACAGTCTTAGGTGTGGGCAGTAAGCTGAGGACAAGAAAAAGGAAAATACAAAGAAAAGGGTTCTCTCCCTCCCTCTGCCCCTTCCCCCACCCTCGCTTTCTCTCTCTCTCAAAAATAAGTAAGTAAATCTTCAAAAAAAAAAAAAAAAAGAAGAACATTGATGGTTTGGTGTTCTGCACTGAATAAGGGAAACTGGTCGACTTCTTTGTATCTTCAGAACCATTGCACCTTCCTCTAAGTGGGTCATGATCTCAGGGCCTGATTTTCCAGAGTGCTTTGTCATGTCTCTGTCCGGAATCACTCCATAATGCCTAGAGTTTCAAACGATGCTCCTAGGTGACACTTGGTTCAATGACTAAACCTTCTCAGAACCCTGCCACAGGTGGGCGTTCTGATTGCATTGCATCCCCTGCTGGGATCAGCGTGCGATGGTTGCCGTGCACGGGGGCATTTCCTTCGCATCTTCACAGAAGTCAAGAGCCAATGATCTCCTTCTTTTGTAAAGATGGAACTGTAGTAAAATTGAACATTTCTCCCCTTCAGGGCAGATCTTGAATGTTCTAGATGAGTTGAAACTGGCTAACAACACCCTCGTCTACTTCACCTCGGATCAAGGAGCCCATGTGGAAGAGGTGAGCGCCAAGGGAGAAGTCCACGGAGGCAGTAACGGAATCTATAAAGGTGAGGAATCTGCCGACGTCGGTAAGCTCTGGCCTCCCAGCTCACCTGTTGGGCACCTTTGCCTTGATGTTTGAGCTTTGATGTTGTCCCTCTGCCACTTTCCAGTATACAGGACCTCACTGCGTTGCAGGCATTGAACAGGGAAGTGACCATGTCGCCGTTTCTGTTACGGTCCGCACGGAGATTAAAAGCACACTTTCTAGGTCAGGACATTGGACTGCGGGCATGTTCACCCAGGGTAAACTCAGCCTCTATACCGGATAGCGGGTTAGAACAATAAAACTGTGTATTGGTTTCCTGTTGCCACTATGACAAAATAACACAGACTTCTGGCTTAAAACAACATAGTTTATTAACTTATTGTTCTGGAGGTCCGAAGTCTGAGATGGGTCTCACTGGACTAAAATCAGGGTGAGAGGGGCGCCTGGGTGGCTCAGTCGGTTAAGCGTCTGCCTTCAGCTCAGGTCATGGTCCCGGGATCCTGGGATGGAGCCCCGCATCGGGCTCCCTGCTCCGCGGGAGGCCTGCTTCTCCCTCTCCCACTCCCCCTGCTTGTGTTCCTGCTCTCGCTGTGTCTCTCTCTGTCAAATAAATAAGTAAAATCTTTAAAATAAAATAAAATCAGGGTGGCAGCAGGGCTGTGTCATTCTGCAGGCTCTGGGGAAGCATTTCTTTTCCTGTCTTTTGCAGCTTCTGAGGCCACCTGCGTTCTCTGGCTGATGATCTCTTCTTGCATCTTTAAAGCCAACAGTGCGCAAGTCTTCGGACCTCCCTTCCTCTCTCTCTCTCTCTGACCTCTGTTTCCATAACGTCATCTCCCTCCCTCACTTACTCTAAAAAATATGGTTCCCGAAGGACTGCTATGATTGTACTTGTCCCATCCAATCTTGCAGCTGATTTTCCCTTTTCGGGGTTCTTAATCACATCTTCAAAGTTCTTTTGCCGTGGACGGTCGCATAGGCACCAGTTCCGGAGGATGATGGTGTGCCCCTCTCTGGGGGGTGGTTGTTCTGCCGACCTCGATGTGCAGTAGCATTTCGGGCTCATGCTTCATTCCTGACACAGCCTCAGCTAAGCCACCGCCAAGACCAATCAGACTAGTCCTTGGGGATGTGAGATAGTCCGAAGTAGATCAGACCCAGCTGCTGACCCCAGGTTGCTTGTAGCGTGCAAACATGGTGAATACAAGACATACGTATCTCATTGCGATAAAATGCGACCCATTCCACAGCCTTAGACGACAGGCCCAAAGGGGCATATCTGTGCTAAGGGTTAGGACGCCCACCCGAATCTGCGGTGGCTGTGGGTTTTTGCACCGTGGGGCAGGATGAGTGGAGGTGACCACGGTGACTCATCGTGTCCCAGGTAGTGGGGACCACCTCCCTAAGACAACAAGATGCGTAAAACCCAGGAAAGCAGGTGACTGTAAAATTTCCCTAGCATAAGGTGAAATAGTGCTCGATTGCCCTTTTATATTCTCTCATATGGATGTTTCAGAGATTCGCAGGGATGCAGGGAATCTGAGTTTACCTCCAACGATATGAAAGGAGAACAAATAGGATGCTTTGGCCCATTAATTGGTTTAGAAATATTGATTGGGCTATGCATCTGGCCCTGGGTTTGAGGCAAAAGTAATAAAATGTGGTCGGTGCCCTGAAGGAACTCAGGGTCAGCCGGTGGTTGGGTGGGTGAGTGACTGAGTGTGTGGTAGCAGGAAGCCTAGACCGTGGGATTTAGTAAAAGCATCAGTATTTATAGGCACAAGAAATAGTGGTGCATGTGACCAGGAGAGCCTCAGGAGGCCTGAGGGCCCCGGAAATGTTTGCAAAGTTGGCAATCCTGGAAGGAGTTAGCCACGGTGCGTGCTTGCTCTCTTCTGCATCTAGCTCTGCCAAAATACTCAATACTGTGGCGCCGGGGGTGAGAAGCAGCGCGCGGCTTGTCCTGCCACGTGAAGGAGTTGGATCACTCTGCGTCACAGAGCAGCGAGGCAGAGAGGTGGAGAGAGGGTAGCGAGTTATCTGTCCCAAACGTGCCTACCTTGTACTTCTGTTTACACCTTTGTGTGTGTGTCTGCCGTCCTCTTCGGAGCACCTCAGGGCAGGGACCTTGCTTACACGTTTGGTTCCCTGGAACCTCGGACAGAAAGATTCCAGTTGAATGCTGGTCTGGATGACCTTCCTAGGATGTGCACGGCCCTTTCCTTTGCTTGCCGTTGTTACCTTGGCAGAGCATGGCACACAAATGCTGTTTGACGCGGGTCAGGTGAATGACGCATCGTGTTTCGTCGGCGCAGGATTAACCGGCCCCGGCAGCCCCTCTTCCGACCAGCCCTCCCTCTGTTCATCCTCTTATTTTAGTGTAGGGAGAAGTGAAAACTTGTACTCCCGTAGATTAAGATTAGGTGTATCACCGTATTTCAGCGAGGTTATGGCCTGTGTGGAGAGAGTTGTTTTTTATTTTAGAGACGACAGCGTCTCTAAGGATGGAGTGACGGGTTGTATAGCATGCAGGCGTTCAGCCTTTCGTTTATTCTTACACTGAAGGCCTGCGACGTTCCAAAGGAGGTAAGCGGCTGCCGATGAGACACATACGTAAATCACAGTAACGGAAGCGGTTACAAAGTAATACGTGATTTAAGAAAGTCACACTATGACTGCCGTGAAGCACGTTGGTTCAGGGAGATGACCAGGTGACCCCCGGCTGATGGATCTCGGGATGCGTGAGGAGAAGAGGAGATGGGTTTAACATTTCGCTGTGACAGTTGACTCTCGTGGAGATATCAGCGGTGTGGGTCGGAAAGAGAGTGTCAAGGGTCTCGAAGGATGGTCGCAAACCAGGGTTATCGTAGACCCCTAACAGCATGTCAGGAGCTACCCCCTGATTTTCTTTTTTAAGAGAAACATTTTGGATGTGTGAGCAGTGTTTTGCTATTTTGCTTGAGTGCTAGAAATACCACCAATGTATGATGCTGTATTAATACCTCAGCCACGACTCTGTGGCAAAGCATTATCCCTCTGTCAGATTGAGTTGGAATCAGGCTTACAGTGCAACATTGTTAAAATGCGGCTGCCCTAAAAGGAAGATGTGGTTTCCTTCCAGAGGTAGGAGATGACCAAACACCCTTCTCAATGTCACATCTCGTTTTCTAAAGCCACCAACTCCGACACACTCGTACACAGAGGAATCACGCTGTTTAAACTCCCTGATCAAAACAGCATCTTTTTCTGAACAGTTAATGATTTTTAGTCTCAATCAAAACCTCTCAGAAAGATCTTCAGCGTATGAGTGAGTTCTTCTACCATATTACCCAGTCAAATCTACTTGCCTAATGGAATCTGTGGGTGAATTGGATAGAATGGCTACAGTTAAATCATCCTTCTCCAGAATTCAACACGATCTTCCTTTTAATCATAGGGACAGAAGATCCCTGCGGTAGTCGTCATTTTTTAAAAAAATAATGTAATATTATAGGGGTGAAGGAATAGTGACACCATTAATACTTTCTCTCTCTTTTTCTTTTTTTGAAGGAAATGTGTTTACAGCATGAATCTCCTGTTTAGATTTAGAGAAGGGTAGACCGTGTTGGTCAAAAGGAAATTGAGAGATAGGAGTAGGGCCCACTGTGGACTTTGAGTATGACCCTAGTGAAATTGTAGCAATCTTGGCAATGTCTTCATCCTAACAGATCCTGATACATTTACTTCTGAGCATCTTCTAAATCAATTTTCCTTCCACTGTCCACGTGTTCTGAATGATTGTGTCAACCTAATAAACCTAGCCCACCAAGTAACAATCCATACCCCCGCATAAGAATTCAGGAAGCATTGCCTCCATTAGTGCTTTTAGTTAATCTGACAGCATTCCCATACTGAGCCATTAGGATTTTTGCCAAAAGCAAGATAAATAAATGAACAGCAAAATGCCAGAACGTTTACATTGGCCTGTGACCACGTATAGCGGTTAAATGTAAAAATTCCAGCAGGGCTCTTAAAATATTGAAAATGTGCACATTGCTAATTTGAGAGCGGGGATTAGGAATTGGTGCTTTTAAAGGAACAGAGAATGTACGATCTCCGTGCGATCCTGAACTGTATCTGGGACGCGCAGGTCATGGCTCTCCGTTTGTGTAACTGTTCCCTGGGCAGGTGTTGGGTCTGTGGTGGAGGAGTCCTCAGAAGGCTCTCTTCATTCTGCACCCTCATCTGGACCAGGGCTCAAGGCAATAGTCCTGTAAATAGTGGTTCTCCTGTGGAAGGAGCGGCTGGCCCCACTCTGCGTCACCTGATGTCTAAGTCAACGTTTGAAACTCTTAGAATGCTTCTTGTAGAGATGGGTGTAAGCAAACTCTGGGAAGCTTCTGCTCAACCATAAGTGCCGGCTCTTCCTACTCCGTTGACCTGCCTCTCAAAGGTGGGGACCTCTGGGGCTCTGTCCTGAGTCCCTTCACTTCCTTACCTACACGCTCATGCTCTATGATCGCATCTTCCTGATTCTTCTTTGTTGTCAATCCCCTCTCTGCCCAGGGACCTGGATGAGCTTTAATACACATGCAGTCACTGTACCGTGCTGAGTTTCGTAGGGCGGCCACAAAGTGGATGGCTTACAAACAACAGAAAGTTGTTCTCTCTCACTTCCAGACACCAGAAGTCCTAAATCAAGGGATCAGCAGGACCATGCTCCTTCTGAAGGCTCTACTGGAGGATCCTTCCTTGCCTTCTGGTGGTCGCTGGCAATCCTTGGCTTCCCATAGCCTGTGGATGCATCACTCCAGTCTCTGTCTCCTCTGTCATCTCAACTTTTCTTCTTTTCTTAAAACACTCCACTATATTCACACCCACTGAGAATGAAACGTGAGGTCTGCACCACGGCGGTACACAGTCCTACCATGACCTAGAGCTGCTTTATCTTCCTCGTCCCTGTCTGCTTTTTTCTGGGGTCCCCCAACATTTTAATCTTGTTTCCACCATAGGACCTCTCCATTGGCAGTTCCTTCTGGT